AAAAAATATAATTCTGCTGTTGGAAGTGTCCTCTGAGCTGCAGGGTTGGGGAAACAGGATTTGCCCCCTGGCAATTTAAGGTTAAGCTCCTTTATACTCTTACAGTGGTTAAGCTGCAGCTGGGGTTTAGAAGAGGGTGTGCGTACCCCAAGCTCGGTGCTCCGTCACTTCAGAGCAGGTGTTTCAAGTGTGTGGCTTATAAATGAGTAACAGGGGCTTGGTCTGAGGAGAGCGTGTGTCCACGCAGAGCTCTTGCAATAGACTGATCTAAACTCCCAGAGGTTTCGTTCACTGTATTTAAGTGCTCGTACCATTAAAACCGCTGAAGCAGTGTTCTTAAATGTACTTTAGCTTTGGGTCTCAGTGGCATTCATACATCTGGATGACTTAATGACTACAGAAAGGTAAAACTTAAAAATCAGGCCTTTGCCATGGAAAACTTGTTTTGTAAAAAGACTGTGTAATAATTGGGAGCTGGTTGCATTTGGCAATTATTACTATTCATTTATTTTTATCGAGCCCACTTTCCATAGAAAATGTATCATTTCAAACATTTCTTCAGAAAGAAACTTCAGTTCTAACTTTGGACAAAGACCATCTGGTTTCTGATCAGCTCTGATGATGCTAAACTTGGAACACAGTGGCCAAAAGCTATGTGAAGCTACTTACGGTATGCTTGGGTTTTTTTACCTTTATCTCAACAATACTAATCATAAGTATTTAATTTGTGTGGGTATATAAATACCAAATTTTATTTCTTTATACTGAAAAAGAACTTTGAAGAAGCTCAGTGTCTTAACCATTCTTTTAACATGTCACACATTTCAGTTTCAAGATAATTTTTTCATCAACAATGTTGGGCCTTGGTTATTTTTATAGTTCTGTAACAAATAACTAAGTTATTTTCTGAACTTTAACTCATCTTTTGAATAGATGAGGTTTTTTTTTTTCTTCAAGCAATGAGCAAGAACAGCTTTGATACTTGATATTGATTCATCTTTTATTAGTGAAGCAAGGTTTGAATTACATAATATGCAAAAAAGGAAGTCAGACCATGCTTGTGGGGGAAAAAAGTCATCCAGCAGCTGGAGTATGACTTGGAAAAGATCCGTCTGTGTGTTAGGAAAGAGACAATGTTCATTTGTATTCCTGCTTGTTACCAAGTTACAAAGAAGGTAACTGTTGGGGATGATTTATCCTCTTGTGTGTGTTTATTAGACTTACAGGAAAATGTAGTTATTACCAACTTTTACCATGTCTTGTAACCAATTTGCATTTTAATAGCAGAGAGTACTGAGAGAGTCAGGGGGCGAGCTGTATAGAAATAACACTTCAGCATCACTGTTTCGCATCAGCAAAGGAGGACGGGCAACCACACAGTGCAGTCCGGGCTTTACTGAGGAAAAATATAGGCCATGGTGAATGCAAAAACAAATTCCAGCCTGTGGAGCCTGATGAAAAGATAATCCTCTTGAGAGGCAAGGTCATTGTGCACCACCGTAGTACAGTTGCCATGCCATTTACTCTGCTGGCCGTGCTGGAGCCGCTGGACTCCGTTTTGATCTCTAGGACTTGCATCCGTGTGTCTCAAATCAGGCTGCGTGTTTCCTAGGTGCTTTCATGGAAGCCTGATCTGCCCTGTAATCTTGCCTGGCTTCTGGTCATTAGACTACCAGCGCTGTGCATAATTTAAGCAGGGTTATATAGCGCTCTTCTAACATACAGGGACAAGGGGACAGATCATAGTAATTTTTCCTGATTGGCAAATGAAAGGCAAGGGAGGTGCAGTTCTGTTAAATCACTCTGAAGGCGGTCAGTAGTTGCTCTAAAGAGCAGTCCTGTTTTTCTTTCCTTCTTGCTCCATGTTTTTACCCCCTCTTGTTTGTCGGAGTTAGAGAAGGTGTGACTGCACAAGTTGTATCAGCTAACAAAATTCACCTAGAGTTGTGTAATTTGGAGATTTTTTTTTTTTTTTTTTTTTTTTTTTTACTCCTAAGGAAAAGGTGGTGGCAGGCAAAGCCTTAGCTTAAATTTGATAAAAAAATAATTTTCCTTCCAACATCTCAGTGTAAGAAGAAGCAAATATGAATATGTTTCTTGATTAAGCAGAATATTTATTAGCAAATTAATAGTATGAGTTTAAATAAGTATATAACTGCTGCAATATAGTAAAATATAATTACACTGTAGGACATTAAATATATTTTTCTAAAAGTTGAATGTTGATTATATGTATATCAGAAATGACACTTGTCTTCTCTGAAATCTCTACTAGAGAGCCTCTTGAAAGTAGTTCAGCTTCAGACTAACCTTTCAAAACACACCTGCACGTTTCTGTTCCCTGCTGCAGAGCTAGGATAAGAGAGCAGTGAACACTTGTAAAAATGTATCTTTCAAATCCCACTAAGATTTTTTTTTTCTGTGCACTTTCTTTTGCCTTCAAGTTATCTGGTGGCTCAGCATTTTTTAAAATGCTAGTTAAGAAATTGTATAAAAGCTACTGAGTTTTCTTAGCTGTTGGCCACAGCACCTGTAACCTGTAATTTAGCATGGTAATTCTTTAGTATCAATTAACAGTACATAAAAAAATTGCTGTATGTGTTCAGGAACAGATTTAGAATGGCTGCAAGAGCTGTATTCAGAACTTCTGGGGCATTCAAACGCTTGGTAACATGGCAGTCATTTTTTAATACATAATACTTATCTCTTACTTTATTCTTGGTAATAATGATGTCTGAGCAAATGTCAGGTGGAAGAGATCTCTTAAAGTCAGATTCCAGACGCTGAATTTTAATATTTACCCTGCAATCTCCAGCATACCTAAAGCAAACAACTTCTGTAGTGTTTGAAGTTGCAAATGTTAAAGTTACCCAGCTTCAGTTTTGTCATCTGTAACACACTAATGCACAAACCGTAACTGCAGGCAATACTTACTGGTTTTATTTAGGTTGACAGAAACCATAAACTGGACTTTATCGTAAGTACTACTTAATCTAAGTGGAAACTGCTGGAGGTAATATATATTGAATTTTATTTACCTTTCTGTCCAGTGCAAGGCATGCATTTATTTGGAAGTGTGTCCCCCCCGCCCCCCAAAAAAAGATTCTTGCCATAATTGTTGTAAGGGAAAGCTTTGTAAATCATACAGGTCCTTAAAGTTAAATGGAGAGCTCTAATGGTGAGGCAGATGGAGTCAAGAATGTAAAGACAGAAACTGGGAAGCTGCACTGGCCTGTGTCTCTCCTGGTCTCAGAGTCAAGAAGCTCAGAACAGGAGAGTTCAAATGTGTGATGCTAAGTCATAACTTCCACTTAGGCCATCCTAATCTATCTGCTTCTACAGCCTCGTCACAGTGTTGTAGAGTCTATATTCACTAGCTGAAAGACACTAAAAATAAAAGTCATTGGGCTTGAGGAAAGGCAACAGATGAGATGGAATCCGTTCCTTCTGCCAGGTTTTATTTCAACCCGGGATGCTACTCCAGATGGTAAGGAAGAACAACATCCCCGTACAGCCTGACTTCCGTGGCACAGCTGGCAGTGGGCTCTCTGCAGCAAGAGATGTGCTCCCTTCTGAGATGGGAGTCAGGGATATCTGGCACCTTGCATGTGATTCTGCACTGAAAGGGAATTCCACCCCACCAACTTGCAGGCTCTCCATAGTGCACAGAGAAGAACTTTGCATGACCTTCTATACCCCAGTGTAACAGCTCCTCCGTATTAACGAGGGTTAAAACCGGTGCATTTCATCCAGTAGGACTCCTTAAGGAAAAACAAACCTCTTGCTAGAAGATTTCTAAGGTTAAACAACTGAATTCAAGCCAAATACTTCAGGGAGTAGGATATTAAAAACTATCAGAGTTAACGATATTATATGAGAAGCAGAAAACAGAAATACTGAGCAGGTAGGTGGAGACGCTTGAGTCACAGCTTTTGTATCACAGACTATGTAACAGCTACATACAGTGTGTGTTTCTAAGATCAACAGTAAACATACTCTAGCTCTTAAAAACATCTCATGAGCTGGGAGACTGTGCTTTTGACTTCTATATTTATTCTTTGTTTTTAACTCAAGATGCGCTAATTTGCACTCCTTAGCACATAATGTCATGACTTTTACAAAGCAGTAAGCATGGATGGTTCTGTGCTTCTGTACAACAGCTGAAGAAAATGTCAAGTACAAAGAAACGCGCTGCTCTCCTGATACAAATGAGCTTATCGTGTAAATGGTGAAATAGAGAACTTTGACCTTATTATAGTAGAATGTAAGACAGTGGATTAACACTCCAGACTTCTAATTAATCACATTGTGTCTCATCCTCTTGATTGTAGCTGACTAGGCTATTCTTCTAGCTTAAACCCGTGGCTGTCCAGTATTAACACTTATCTGTTTGTACTGCTGCTTGTGCACCTGTCAGCCTAGATTAGTGTTGCAATCCTGAATGTTTCAAAATTAGATTTCAGAAATGTGCAGAAACATTCTTACATGTGAACTATATTTTTATTGTGTGAATATTTAAAAAAACCACAAAACTGAAATTCTGAGAACTGAAAAACACTCTGCACTGCTTATGCTATTTTCTCATGCAAAAAAAGTACTGAACAGTACTGATTATGGTTCCTTCTACAATATGCATAGAGTATTAAATGCAAACTAATTACAGCTATCATCAAAATTTTACAACTTTGTTATGGACATTTATTTTAAGATGATACAAATTAATCTAAGTCTGATATCACTTTTCAGGTAATACTTGTATATCAGTGAACTACTAGGATGCGAAGACATATTTAAACTAGTTAATTTTTATTCTAACCATTAGACTATGTTTTAAGAGAAATACTGCAAATAAACTGAAGCCATTGAGTCAACAGACACTAGGCTGAGACTGCAAAATATTCCTGTAATAGCATCCCTCTTCTCAGTTTTAAAGCATCTGAAATTCAAACCAAACTGAGCTTTTCTCACTATCGAAAGCCAAACTAAGACATTCTCTCCAGAGAAAGACACCAGTTTGTCACTTTCAAAAAGAACTATTTTAAGGCCATGTGCCACTGCTACAGGCTGCATACAAACCACAGCTATTTTCCCTGACCTGTTGGGTTTTCTGAAATATAAGTCTCAGTGATGAAAGAAGTCTACTAGTATGCATTCAGACAGAAGAATGAGCTAGAAATTTAATCTACGATCTACAGACTCTAAACAAACTCAGTATCATATGCTTTTATTATACATAAAAGGTATCCCCTATTCACACTACAAATAAACAGCAATGGACTGTAACTCTGATTCTTCGGTTATCTATAAAACTACAGAAAAATAAGAAAACTGATGTCTAACTGAATTTCTTACATAGCATTACTGGACTTTCAAACCATGAGTATCATCAGTAGGGATGGTAACGAGGCCCTGGGTTGTAGGAGTTGTAGCCATATTGTCCATAGTGGGAAGAGTACGATTGTCCTTGTCTGTGCTGCTGGTAGTTATTACCCCAGCCTCTTTCTGGCCTCTGATTAGATCTATAATCACCTTGCCAGTTGTATCTGTCCCCTCTAAAATATCTACCATCTTGAAACCTGCAATGGAAAGAAATGTCAAAGGTTCACACAAATCATGAGTTTTTAAAAAGATGAATGAAAATAAACTCTTAAATTTTACAGTTTTACTTAATACTTTTATACACAATGCAAAAACATTGGCTGTCAATACAGAGCAAATTACTTTTCAGAGACGACTATTTCTCTTAAACATAGTTACCTATGAAGTAACAAGAAGATAACTACATACTTGTGAAACTACCAAGATTAGGAAAAAATCAGTACCTATCACGGTTTCTCTGGTTGCCACCAGACCTGTTTCTCCATTCTTCAACTATAGGAGGGGGATCTACAGGGCGTTTCAGATATTCTTGGTATTCTTTATCATCTGATGTGAATCGATGAGCAAACATCTTTTCATAATCCAGGGGCATGTCAACCAAGGAAGTCATTCTGAAAACTTTGAACATGAACACAACAAAAGTGGCGTTAGCAATGTATGAAGACACTTACTGTAATAGCTACCAAAATCCACTTAGGGCAAATGAAGGACAATGAAGAGTTATACCAACGCAGCAGTTAAGTTTTGGGCAGACAGCATAGACGACTTGACTCTTAAGCCTTGATGATCTAAGACTATAAATAACTCTCCTGAATAGGTTCTCTCTGATGGAAAATAATTCTAATTCCATGTCCCGTCTCAGACATCTGTACTGGATCTGCAGACACGGATCTGTCTAAACACTGGGAGTGGTTTTAAGGGACTCCATCCACACAGGAGAAATTCAGCTTGAATTAATAGCTACTATAGTCAGTCATTACACAGCAGCATCTTTGAATCAATTTTGACAGACCTAGATTAGGTGAGATGAATTGTGGTAAAAAGGTATGGGCCACTTCTGGGGGATGGTAACAGAAAAAAGTATTTCTTCAGAACGCACTCCCCATCTACTCCTACTTTCTGATAGGAAAAACTATTACAATCAACTTGAAAAGTTTGCTAAGGCAGATTATCATGCAAACCCCACAGGTACACAGCCAACAAAGCAAAATAATCAGATTTATTCACAATAATTTGTGTTAATAATTCAGAGAAAAGGCAGCACCTAAGAGGATGTTAAATTACCTCATAATATATCTCTCAGATGAGATTTGTGTTTAAGACCTGAGTTTCCTTATTTACCTGGCTATATATGGATTTGCCCTAAAGACATTGGCGCTATCTAGTACTGCCCATCAGTAAAAGTCTGGCCCTAATAGCAGATGCTGAGAAAAGCTTTACGCCTACTGTTTTAACAAGCCCCGGGTAATTTAGAGCATTAAATGTCTTTGCCACTAGACTTCCAGATTAAGGTCTTCTGCTGTCTCCTGAAGATTTGCAGGCAGGACGAATATCCACCTTGCAAACTGGGGGGAAGGAAGGAGGAGACAGGTTTCTTCTGGACCCTGAGAGCTACAATATACACCCTCAACGACCCAGCCAAGTTCTTCTCCCCATTGCACCCATGAGCAGCTAGAGACTGGGGTAAGTGTGCAGTTTATGGGGAACACAGCACAGTTCTCTTTCCATGGACTGAACTCCCCTTTCGCCAGCTTTGGGAAGCTCGGTGCCTGGTGACCTCCAGAGCCCACCTGCAGCCTTCCCCCTTCCCCCCTGTGACGCAGCGTACATCTCTCTGAATCAGGTGTGGATGGATGTCCAGAAACTTCACCCTCCCTTTCTGCACAGAGCTAACCCCGTCAGTTGCTGCCATGAGCTGTCTCCATGGCACTTCGCTCCCAGGGGCCACCTCAGTCGGGGCGGGGGTAACACTGCCCTGGGGACCCACCACAGCCTTTTCCAGAGACCAGTGGAGCTGCTCTCCTCACGGTTAACATCGATATTCATCCTGCGGGGCCGCTAACAGGGG